TTAAAAAAAAAGCTTGTCACACAGAATGCCTTTTAATTTGGAAAGGTTACAATTTTTTGTCGTTTTACTTATGAGTAAGTGTATCATTTTAGTTTTGTTCCCCCACTAGATTAAATAATATAATCACATTAATCAAAGGATTCATAATGATTATTAACATTTACTGATGCATTATATTGTGCCATATGCTGTACTAAATGCTTCACATGCTTTTATCTCATTTTGTTGCCTCTTGTACAGATGAGGAAACTGAGACACTGAACAGGTAAATACATGCTCCTTTTGGTAGAGCATGTATTCACGTCTGTTTTGTCTGAGTTTGAGATTTTAGTTGCAATTCTGTAGTACTCTTCGTAGTTTCATTTCAACTGAATGTGGCTGTTTAATTTTACTGATTCAGTAACTGTTTTTCCCTGGAATTAACTTTGAACTCTACCCTTAGATGATTATCAGTGAACTTCTTTCCCCTTTAAAAGATAACCCACTGTGTATTTATACAGACTCCCATACATAAATATATCTGTTGATCTGACTACCAAGCTAAGTATCCATGGATACACAGGAATTTGTATTGTATTTATCATTTCCAACCTTAAGCTTTTACCTGGATGTAAATATCTGTTGTGTAATGTTGCTCCTCCAATTCCTCCTTTCATTGTATTCACAATTTAAGAATAACAAAAGAATGTTTTAACTAATATTATGTACTTCAAAATTCCATTTCCTAATATAATTTTTAAGTATTTGACTTTTACATCTTTTACATCTGAGGTTTCATTACCTAAAGTAATAATCTAAAGTTTTGCTTTTGAGTAGTAAGTATGGCCAGGAAGTTCTTAAAATGTTTGCTAAATTAATAATAGAGACTATGAAAAATTATTAAGTCTATAAACTGTCTGTATTTACTGTAAGACCAGCTTCTTCGGTTACATTGAGGGTCCAGGATGGGTACCATGAACCATCAGCTGCGGGAGGCTGTGGGTGATGCTAATTTTTGGCGTGGGTTACTCTTCTCATCGGCTTCTGTGTTCATGGATGATACCTAGTCACGTTTTCCTTCCACGAGCACGTCTTTAAGATGATCTTATTTCACCTGCAATTTAAAATTTGACAAGAAAATTTAGCAATATATACTAATTCACTTAAGGGACACAAAAGGTTCTAAGTCTTTACACTATTTGTTTATCTAAGATTTTTCTATCACGTGTACTGTGACTACTTAAACTTTGTTTTCAACCTCATTTTTAATTAAGTCTCCCCCCATCCTTACTATGAAGTATTTAGTACATATACTTGATGAGGATCGTGTAAAAATTCAGAGATAAACATTTTCTTTATTTGTACTCCTTTTCAGAATCTATACCTGGTGTAAAAATGACACTCTGAAACTCGATGTTTTTAGATATAAATGGAGACATGTTTGAGTAGGTGTACTTATTTATAGTATTAGCCTGGCTGTTTTTAACTTAACCTAGTTTGAAATCTGTGTTTCTCCCTTCACAAAGCAGATGTTTGTAGATAAAAGGCACTCAAGAAATCTATTGTAAACCTGTGCTTAGCATGATTTCAGCAGTGCACAGTTAGAAACCCTAAATGCCTTTAGCTAAACATGCCTGCAGTTAAAGCTAAAAGGGAGTCCGGAATTCCATTTATTGTGTTTTGAAATCTCAGTTACATTCTATATATTATTTTCTTAATAAATGATATGCATAAATGTGAGGAAATACTAGTGGAAATGCTGTGCCCTGTGTGTACTTGTTTAAAACAATGTGACTTTTTCTAAAAACAATTTTTCCTGTCAAGCAACTTATATTTTTAATCAACTTATTTTAATTGTGAACGTTATGAACACATTTCACAAAGTTACCAACTTATTTAAAATGATGTATTATGTCCATTTCAAACTGTAATGGCCACAATTGTCAACTATGATGAGCTGTTCTAATGAATGTATAATATTGTATATTATGCACATACATATATATTGACATATATGTAATTGGTGCTACGTATTGCATGTAGTTTGTATATACAAAATGTAACAAATATATTTATTGATTAACTTACATTACTAATGGATATACCTTTACAATTGCCCTTGTATCTTAAAGTACTCTAATGTGAGTTAAATTACTTTTCAAGCAGGTATAAGTGTCTGGTGTATTAAAACACATTCATTTGTACCACTTGATCACGTAAAGGCCTTTGTGTAGGATTACTTAAGAAACACATTTGTGTGTGTGTGTGGTCTAGAAGGATCCTGTGCTACTGACATGGCTACCTACAACTTCTTTCAAGAATCAGACCTGCCAACTAAAACCATCATCTGAAACTCTCTTGCCCCCTCTGTTGTTATTTTCAGGTACTACTACACATATGTTTCCAGCCTTGTATTGTCGTTAGATTATTAAAATGCCTGCAAAAACTAAACTTCGGTTATTTTACTTTCCGTTAAATTAGATGGAATGCTAACATAACATTTGTTAGAATACTCAGTTGATACTTTTCTTGTGCTTCAGATAAGTTCCTATCATAGGACAACAAAAATGAAAGATGAATCTGTTTCACTTCAGTTTTTCCTAGTTACCAATTTTAAGCCCTTTCAAATGCTGCACACAACAAATGGACATCTCTCCAGGAAGGATGTCGCTCACTGTACAGAACATTTTCCAGAATTGAAAATCCTCTCTGTTTTTCTGTAAACCTTTTGATTGTCAGAGTTAGCTGCCTTCTAAAAGAAGAGTCTGGAATCACCCATACTAAAACTAAGAATTTATAACTATAAGGAACAGATGTTTTCATAAACATTTGCTATAATTAATTTCAACTAGGGGATTGAAGGAACAAAGCCGTTTTTCCCTGCTTCAAAACTTTATTGCCTTTTCTCCATAAAGCAAACTCTGAAATCTTTCCCTAATACTGTTTGTGAAACAATAGTACATCCATATTTTATGGGTTTTTTTTGGGAGGGTGCCTCTTTTTCTGTCTTACCATCCTTTATACCTTGAAGGTCACAGTAAATGTGATATATTCATGTGGAAACATTTATGAACTGAAGGAAACCTTAATAGTATATTATGATGATAAAACCTGGTGGTTTAAAAACCAAATGTCTCCTAATTATCTGTGGACTTTGTGAGCTGATAAATAACAGCATAAAGAAAGAAAATATTCTGGTGAGGTTATCTATGTTGGAATCTTTAGTTTTAAGGAGAAATAACTCAAACTTTAAATGTATGATATAGCAGTTATTCGATGCTGATTAGAGAATGTTTCCCAGAAAATGCCTGCAAGCTGTTAAACAACATGTGTTGTATGAAATTTTCATTTACTAGTGTTCCTTAAATCTTTTCATTTAATTATGTTCCATTAATAGTTGTTGATTTTAAAGAAGTGCAGTGTAAGTAATCTTAGTATCTTCACCTAGATTCCTTTAAATTGGCTTAAGCCTCGCAGTGCTTTCTTTGGGCTATTTTTATGTACAAAAGCTGTCACCATTTTCCGGTGTGAGGTTGCATTTAGGACTTTTGTTTAGAAAAATCCCTGCAAATGCATTTTGGAAGAAAAGGACGTCAAAAATGCTATGAATGGGCTCAGCTCAGTTCTGGTCTTCCTGAACACTTTGGCACAGCTGCAAAGATTTTTGAAGAGAACCAGTGTTCTTGACTAATCTGTCAACTATAAAATGTGCAAAGAAAAATAGGTAGCTGTCATTAAAATTACATTTCAGCTTTCAATAACCGTTTAATGAGTAGCATAATTATATAAGTATGGTACCTTAAGCACTATACTCAATAATTAAAAATAATCTCATCTTTAAGCTGAAAGCTCTGTAATTGCTATTTGACTTAACCAGGACCACTGTGGTGATCTCCAGTGGCACCTTGGATTGTTCAACGTGGATTAAAAGTATAAATTAAAATTGGATAAATCATTAAATTATTAAGCTTTAACCATCACAAAATGAATATAATGTGATGCTTGAAAGTTACATTACAGGAATTAGTAATAAAAAATGTAATCATTTTCTAGTCATTTTAATTTGTTTTGAAGAATAAATTATGTATTTCATAGTAGTAAACTAGGGTTTCATCAAAACTCGACTTTCAAGTATATACTTTAAGAACTTAAACTGTTAAAGTTCAATTTTTAGCAATAAGGATATTTTACATTGAGACATTGCTAAGACTGACAGCTTTCTATAAATTTATTTCTGCTCTCTAGTCTTGAAACAGACAGGTACGAGTTTGTTCTAAATTTGATTGAATAAATAGGCCATTTTTTGAGTAAATACCTCCCCCTCCCCAGTATTTTGTATTTCTGCAAGAGACACCCATATCTTCTGATGGGTTGGTGGCAGCAGTTTTTCCTTTTGTAAAAAAACTGAACTTTTGACCACAGTTAAAACCAAGTTTTGAAAAAAGGTTAAGGTGTACTAAAAGCTTATAAAAATGCATTCCTATTTACCCTGTTTCAAACTTGCTTTCTGTGTCTGCATCTTGTGTACCACATTTCTATTGAGTGAACACCTGGGGGCTGCACCGCCCAGCTTTGCTCCACTTTACCTGCTGGGGTCTTCAGGATGGGTGGTGGCTTGACCACAGAAAGACTGTTCTGTGTTTACAACAAATGGGTTTCAGTGATTTATAAATTTTGTTTTTTGCTATCTGTAGTATACATTAATTGTTCCTGTTAGCCATTACTTTGGTCATATTACTATACAGTTTCTAGTGTTTGGTGTAGGTTTATATTTCAGTATCAAAATGAATTTTTAAAATATAAATCCTTAATCATGAAAGATTATTTGGGAGAAGAAACAAGAAGGCACTTGTTTTTTTGACTAGTATAGGGCTTCAAAAAGTTTGTGGAGAAATTCCATTATATTTTTATCCCATTTACCATGATACTTTCCAAGCCCTCCTCATATAGCACATAGACCTATCACACTTTTTAAAATTGAAATATTCTCCATTACTCAATGTTTAATATTTTCTCTCTAGCTGATACGAATAAAAATGGAAGACGAACAAGTTCTACTGTAGACACCGATGGAACTTTTAACTCCTATAGGTAAGTTGATGGCTACACGGACACATAATTTTTGCAAGAAATGTTCAAGATACATAATCGAACTGCTGTCCTTGCTTTAAAAATATGACAAATTTAAAGGACATTGATGTGAAATAGTTCTGCAGATTTGAATGAATGGAAAACACTAGTCTTAACATCTTGAGGAAATTAATTTATTTTGGTTGTCTATTTATAGTAGGCTAGTTGGAATAAACACATGTAGTATTAAACTTCATTATAATCCATCTTTTAAAATTCTTTAAAATGTTCCGTATATATTTTTACAGTACTATCACTTTCTTTTGTTTAAGTTCTCCACTAAAACTGTGCTGCTTGTGAAAGTCTAAAGAGAATTGAGAATATAATTCATGGTTCATTTAAGTACAACTATCTCGTTTGGCTCCTCAGCAAACAGGGGAGTTACATCTCAATTACTTTGTTTTGTTTTTTTTCAGAAAAAGACACGTGAGTTAAGAAAACACATAGCTGCCTAGTATTAATATTATCCTCATTACTGGAATTTTGCTTAAGGAAGTGTTTATGGATTTTATGCATTCATAACCAAGGATCCTAGGGAGAAGAATTATTAAAGTACAAGGAGGCTTCAAAATACTCATGAAAAAATTTAATTATCCTTAAATTCCATTTTCCAACAAATATTTAGAAGCCCCCTCATACTACTTCCAATAATATTTGTATAGCTATCCAGAATGATGCAGGAACTTGCATATTTTCTTCTTGGAAAGAAAAGTAAATTCTGAGTACATTGTTCATACAGTTTTGCTATAATGTAAGCACTATTGCTTGTAATAACTACTGTACATCTGGAAACTCATTGGCCTATCAAGCTAAGTCTCCTTTTACGTAAGGAATGTGGAATTTATGTTGGTTTATATGTACTATACCTCTATGGAGATTGGTACAGGGGAGGGGCAGTGAAAAGGAGGAAGCCCCTGGCACCAGGTGGGTTGGCCCAGTGGCTGCAACAATGGACTCAAACCTAAGGCGATTTAGGAGGCGTCTCAGGACCGGGCGGGGCTGTGTCCTGTTGTGCACAGGGTTGCTATGAGTTGGACATGCTCGACGGCACCTACCAACAACAACACCCCCGCTTGGAACTGTGCCGTCTGTCTCTTTGTACCCAGCCTTTTAACATCCAGAGAGAGGAGTTTTATGAACATTGAACACTTAACGGAAATGTGATGAATGAGAAAGTTTTCATAGTTCACCAGTTCCAGACATGGGCTGCGTGGTTGAAATACTTGACATGTTTTCCTCATACTAGCCGGAGTCTCTGTAAATAATCAGCTGTTGGAGTATTGCAAGTGTAGCACAAGATTCTCCTCCCGTCCAGTTCCGGTAGAGTATTATCGAAGTGGTAGGGCTCATATTGTTTTCATTGTCAGCTCCCTGTACCTGTCTGACCTCCCAAATGCCGGGATTCTCTGAATCCCCCTGTTAGTCCTAAGTGCCGTAACTTGTGTTTGATACAGTAAAGAATCGGTAGAATCCTTCATCTGAACAGGACACAACTGTGGCACCCTCCACCCACCCCAAGTGAATAAAAAAAGATAATAAAGATATATGAGTTGGCATGTAACTGAAAAGTTAATAAGACATGTCACATCTCCTGTGGTATTATCATTATTAGGTATAAATGCAATAAAAAATTAACAAAGACAAAAGGAAAATAAGGACATCTTTTAGAGGAAGAAAGAATCCCTTCATATGTGTATAAATTTATCTGGCAAATTATATTTTACAGCATTAGTTTGTTAGCCAATTATAGTAAATAATGGACATAATATAAAGTTAAGAAAAATGTGTTAATGTGAAGGCATGGTATTATCCTGTATTTAGTTTTGTCCTTGAATAGTAAGAAGATTTAAGTATCTTAGTATTATTGGATGATAATTGTATTTTGAAAATGAAGTTGTAATGCAACTTTGCACAGTAAATACTAATGTTGTTAACTAATATATATATTTTTTAACTAATATATTTTTAATCAATGCCTGTCACTGTTGTAGTGTTAGGATATTAATTTATTGTTGTAATTAAAACGGCAAGATAAAAAGCTCAGGTAGTACAGTATATAAAAGCAGGCTTTTAATAGTTGGCAGGCCGGTGTTGTTATTAAATAGTATTAGAGTATTTAAGGTGTGAAATGAATATTTTTTCTACTCAGTAGGCAATAGTTCTGAGAATATAATGAGCTACTTGTGAATTTGACACGTAGGTTAAATGCAGAATTCATAGAAGCACTGCTCTGGGGTATATTTTCATATTAAGGTTAGCTGACAAAACCTAGAAATTGTTGTAAAATTACCCTGAAATGGCAACAGAATTGTCAGTAAAATTTACTCCTAAAAAATGAAAAATCTTTTTCTTCTGCTATTATAGCACTTTTTAACTAACTAGAAATACATTATTGGAAAATGTAAATACTCCAACCCTTAAACATCTTTTGGCCTACCAATTTTCTCTTGGTGTTATTCAACTGCCTCAGTAAGCCCAATCCTTTCCCACATTTAGACAGCTCCAATCTTAAGCCTGACAGCCCCAGATGCAAACTATACATTCTGGGCTCAGAATAGAGACCAGCTTTACCTCCACATCTATAAAATGACCATCTTCCAGGCTTCTTTCTCACGGCTGTTTGAAAGACAGAGTTAAAATGTGTAAAACCAAAACCAAATGAAAAGCCAAGTTATAGATTCTTTTTATGCTTACCTCACATAAATTGGCAACGTTATTTAGTTTTCATTAACCCTTTATGTTTGATTAACTTGTATATTCTGTTTTAAATTGGTCACCCAAATTTATAGCCTTTCCATTGTTTATATAACTGTATCATTATCTTAGATTGTGAATTTCAAGAAGGCATAGTCTTTATTTTGATTGTTACTTTATATATATATATATACACACACACATATTATGTGTATATTATGAAAGTCTTGACTTCAAATGGAAGTGGAAGTTTTGCACAACCTCAGCTTTATTCCCCTCATCTTTGAAGTGGGAATAAGAAAGAGACTTGTATAGGGAGTTGATGGCATGACATCACATAGTAAATGCTAAGTGGACGTTGGCTGCTTGGTTTTCTATTCTCTGTCATTGACCTTTGGATATTGTAGAATTTTCCTGTAAGTGCTCTGAAGTAAAGAGACAAAGGAGTAGAGCAACGTTTTTACAAATATCTTTGTCTCTTGGCCAAAAAGGAACTCAAAACAAGCTTGGCTAGAGGTTTGAAACTTTCAGGCTCCGATTTAGTATTTTAGGTTGTTTGGGTATAATATATTTGTACACATGGTGAACAAACAGAAGGAAGACATTTTACTATCGATGTGAATTCAGGCATGGATTTCTAGAACTTTGACAAATACGAATGTAAACATGGTGGTCACTAGCTATAGTTTTAGATGCATAATGCACATAGATTTTTTTTAAATGACTTAAATTCAAAAACTCATTGTCATCAAGTCAATTCCGATTCATCACTACTCACTGTAGACCTGCTGCCCCTGTGGGTTTCCGACGCTGTAATTCCTCCCCTGGGTTAGCAACCTATTGCATAGCCACTGTACTACCAGGGCTCCTTTTATTAGACTCGCACTGCCTTGGGGTCAGTGCTGACTCATCACGGCCTGCTGTGCGTTTCCAAGACTGTAACTTTATGGGAGTCGAAAGCCCAGTCTTCCTCCCACTGACTGGCTGCTGGTTTCAACCTGCCCACCATGCAGATCACAGCCCGAAGCATAAACACTACACCACCAGGACTCCCTTTAATATAAGGTGACCAGATTTAAAGCGGGACACCATTGACCAGGGGGGCGGGAGGGGGTGCTCTTGATTAAAAATTTGGTCTATATGGACCAAATAGACCGTTCTCTAGCTTGTCATGCATTCTTTCCAAAAATCGGGACTTTTTTAAAACGCCAAAAATCAGGACTGTCCCGCCAAAAGCGGGACGTCTGGTCACCTTACTTTAATAGATTAGGAGAGCTTAATGTGGATTGTGTCTTTTGTAGTTTCGCTTCAAAGATTCAGGTAGAGTACAACTGCATTTAACTCCAAAGGCACTGATATAGTGATTAAATGATGCTTAAGTACAAGTAATAATATACACAAGTAAAATTTTGCTAAAGATAATTAAAAAATGATTGCAGCCGTACCTGGACAAGAAATCCAAGCCCAATTCAGCAAAGGATGTGGCACAAGGACTATCACTGCTGTCATCAAATGGATCTTGGCTAAAAGCCGAGAGTATCAGAAAGATGCTTGCCTATGTTTTATCAACTATTCAAAGGCATTCACAAATTATGGATAAAGTTGCAAAGGGTGGAAATTGCAGAATACTTCCTAGTGCTCATGCGGAGGACGTACATAGATTAAGAGGCAGTCACTGGAACAAGACAAGGAGATACTGTGTGATTTAAAATCACAAAGTACGTATCAGAGTTGTATCCTCTCACCAGACATATTCCATCTATATGCTGAGCAAATCACCCAAGAAGAACATGAGGCATCAGAACTGGGGGAAGACTCATTATTATCCTGTAATATACAGAATGGATTATACCTCAACATAAAGAAAACCAAAATCCTTACACATAGACCAATAGACAACATCATGATAAACAGAGAAAGGATCACAATTGATAAGGATTTCATTTTACTTGAATTCACACTCTTGGGCACAGCGGTCAGGAAAACAGAGGATGTATTACATTAGGGAAATCTGCTTGAGTCCTTTTTACGGTATGAAAAAGCGAAGATGTGACTTTGAGTATTAAGATATGTCATGATATTTTCAGGAACCTTACCTATAAGTAAAAGCTGTATAAAGAATAGGGAAGACCAACAAAGAACTGATACCTTTGAATCATGTTGTTGCCAAAGAATATTAAGTATACCATGGACTGCAGAACAAACCAGTCTTGGAAGAAGTGCAACCAGAATTTAGTATTAAGCATGATGAAACTTTATTTCATGTA